CCGCCCCCCATAAAAAAAAGGCAAACTAAAAAAAAAAAAAAAAAAAAGTAAGATGGTGGGTCAGGGTGAAGTTTAAAGAAAGTCCTATGAGATATCCCTCTTCAGATGACTACTCTCACCTTCCACTCAAATTAAAAATATACCTTCTTGCTCTGTGGTGGCAAGTGGGGCCCTTTCTCTTGGTCTTCATGAGTAGACACTGAAGCCATGATGACGTTCTTCTTGACTTTCTTCTTGAATGCTTTGCTTACTCCTTGACCCAATGTCTAAGGAAAGTAGAAGAGAATTATTACAACATAACTGAATATATAAATAATCACTCCTAGTAATAACAGCACTTAACTGGAAAGCTTACTTTGCTCTTAATCTGAAACCATCTACAAACTCATTTTCTAATGCCACACACACACACACACACACACACACACACACGCACTGATGGTGACAGATAAGTGAGCAACTACACAAAGTGGGAATGGTTCTCCTTCAAGGTACTAAAGAAGGAGAGAAGAAAGGTCTGTTCGATCTCAAGGTACTAACAAGGTGACTCCTGAACTTTCAAGAGGCTGTGTAGAGGTGAGTGGACTCCAGGGGCAGGAGGACCAGTGTGGAAGGTAATGCACTAGCCTAGGCAAGGAGCCACAGAGACCCAAGCCAGGACCCTGTGGGAGAAAGGGATGACAACTTTGGGTTTGGGAATATTGTATTGGGGTACCTGTGGGGGCAAGCAGCCAGTAGAGATTAGAATATCTGAGAACTTGTGTCCAGACTCCCAGACTAGCGACAGGCTGAAGAGGCAAGTGGGGAACTGCCATCACAGAGCCTTGACAGTTAAAATGAGGAACTTGAAAAATGTATAAAAAGAGTATTGGAGAATGTGGACATGGAGCCCAAGGAAATATTTATGAGAAGAATAATAAAACAAAGCAAAATCAGTCCAAGGAAATAACAGACCAGAGCTGATGCAAAGGGCAGGAAATTAGTGAGGGAGGGAATGAGTCATCAACAGCAATCACATGGCTCAGGAAAACAGGTCCTGGGTTTGGCCAAGATAAACACATTCCTAGTGGACTTTGAGCCTTTGTCCTGGCCAATTCCCATTTCACTCTGCAGCCCTGGGCTCCGTGCCTTATCACTGACCTCCCTGAAAAACAAGTATCTTACACACCCTTCTGTTTCCTACATTAGTTACTAAACTGCCAGGCCTATGTGACAGGGAGCCCCTACTTGCACCAAACTTCACTTTAGGTGCCTGAAGTTGCTGCAGACTCCCCGCTTCAGGGGAAGGTCCTGGAGTTGGAAGGACCTGAGTTCAGATTCTGACTCTAGAGAGGAGGGGACATGACTCAATTGCACAGCGCTTGCCTGGCATGAGCCAGGCCTATGTTCAATTCCCATCATGGGAAACACAAACACAAGTCAAATCCTGACTTTACTCTTTCTGACCAATGCATTGAGGCAAGTGACTGGTTGTGTCTGTGCCTCAACTTTCTCACTGGATAAGTAGGTGTGATGGGCCCAGCAATCTTGAAGAGCTGTTGCACAAACATAAAGAATAAGGGATGAGGTAGGGATGAGGGACAAAACCCATAAAGCCCAAGATCAGCAGCCCGCAGACTGAACACCTTATTTCCTTAGGACTCCCAGGAAGTTTTCGCTGACCTAGGGTCAGATTAGATTATTTTTGCCTAGGCATTAGGCCCTGACCCAATCAGGAAGCAAAAATAGTTTTGGTGGTCAGTCCGCCTTGCAACCCGTTTGTAATCAGTTCACAACTAAACTAGCCTTTTTAGGGTTTCAGCTTCCATGTGGCCCACACCTAGGTCTGTTGGGCTTCTTGGGGGTGAGGGTGGGGAATGGGATGCTGGCAGGTGGGCAGTGGCAGCGGAATGGGGGTGAGGGTAGGACGATAAAGAGGGGATCACCGCCATTTTCTACCGTGGGGGTGTAGCCCGGAGGCAGCACGCTGGAATCCGCGGGCCAGTCCGAGGCAGAGGCCACCTGCATTACCCGAAGGGCCCCAGGCCTCCCGGGACCGTTGGGGTGGCGCTGGGGGCCCGAGGCAGGAGGAGAGGGGGGCGGGAAGCTGTTTCTGCCAGCAGTTAGTCTTCAAGAGGCTGCCTCGTCCGCGGGCCAGTCTTCGAGGACCCCAGAAAGGAAGCCGGCCCCAGTCCCGCAGTCACCTTCCCCCGGGGCGGGGGCTTACCTGTGGTAGCCTCAGGGAAGTTCCCTGCACCCGTTCGTCCTCACCTTTCCTCGGACAGCTTCCTCTCCGCCCCGCTTTCTTCTTTTTTCTCCTTCCTGCTCTTGCTCCGCCCCCTCAGCGGCCGTGAATCACTTCCTCTTTCAAGTTCACCCCACCGCACTTGCTGTCCCTTCCTCAGTGACAGCCCAGAGAAGCCGCAACCCAAATCTACAGATAGCTGGGTATTTAACTCAGTGGCACCGCGCCTGCCTCGCAAGCACAAGGTCCTGAGTTTGATCCCTGCTACAGGAAAAAAAAAAATCTACAGATGGACATATTAATCATTTAAGTAACTTTGGAACTGAAAATACGGATCGATTACCTCTAAGTTCAACCTCCCTTTCTCTTCTTCAAAGATACAGACAAGCAGATAAGAATAAGATATTTTCAGGATTTACAGACTCATAACCATTAACACACTATCAAGCACCCAGTTTCACAGTGTCCTGTTACAAATCTTCAGTGTAGCACCTAGAAGTCTCCAGTCATCGACCCTTTCCTCAGCTAAGCCACACTTCTTTCCCCTTACTTAGGGGTAAAAGGGGCTTAAAACCTAGGCTGAATTAAGATAGTCTTTGTCAACAATTGCATCCCATCTTTGCATTTTTTTTTTTTTTCCTCTCTCCAGTATCAGGAATCAAACTCAGGACCTACATCCCTGGCCCCATCTCATCTTCCTTGGTTTGCTGGCTTTCTAAAGAAATCTTTTTCGTTTTGTCTTTGGGTCATTTGCCCTACAAGCCGGGAGTTTACAAGCCCAGTCACTAGCATGTTTGTGGAAAGCCTTTGTGTTCTCTCCTGCTTCAGTGTAATCATCACGAAGTGTAGAACAAGATGGAGTCTGTCTTGTTCAGGATTGTAACCTTAGCATCTCAGATGTAGGAAGCACTGGATAAATATTTGTTGAATGAATAAATGAGCTAGAGTTCAAAGTCTATTCGTATACTTTTTTTTTTTGGTATGGGGATCAAACTTGGGTCCTTGTGCTTGCAAAGCAGGTGGCAGAACCACTGAGCTAAATCCCCAGCTCTTTTCATATACTTTTGATCTGGTCACAGTGACACATATCTATAATCCCAGATACTTGGATGCTGAGGTGGAAAGATCTCAAGTTCAAGACCAACCCTGGCAATTTACCAAGACTCCATGGATGGGGGCAGGTGGGGGGCTGTAGCTCAGTGGTAAAATTTTGCCTGGTGTGCACAGGGACCTGGATTCAATCTTCAGTGCTTTCAAAGCCAAATCAAACCAAAACAAATCATAAAAACCCTGTTATAGCTGGGCATGGTGGTGCACACCTGTAATCCCAGCACTCAAAAGGCTGAGGAGGAGGATCACTGCCAGTGATTGAGGCCATCCTGTGCTACATAGTGAAACTGTCTCAAAAAACCAAAACACAAACAACAACAACAAAACCCTGTTATTTTTTATGTATTCTGATAGATTCCCCCAGACCATTTGATTCAGTGGATTCTGTCCTGACAGTGTATTTTAGTTTCTAATAAAAGGAGGACATTGTTTTGCTAATTTTATATTTTGTAACTAGAAGTAAGAAATAAGCCTCTGCCATTCTGTGGTCTGAAAAGATTGCTTTCTGTTGCTTTTGTGATTTGAATGAACAGCCTCCCTCATACTGAAATCTAACATGTAACAAATACGCCAACAGGCATTGTCCTTCAGCCTCTTGCTGCAGTTCACTTCATACCTCATACCCTTCACTAATTTCCATCAGAATGTTCCAGCAAATTACCCTAAGTTACTAGAAGTTACCATACTTAATGTACATGGGCTATTACAAATTCTTCAACTGGCATTTGTTGGGCAAATCTGTTGTAACCAGGTATTGTTCTAGAAGAAAAGGCACAGATCTTTCCACAAGGGATTTGTCGCTTCCCAAAGAATTCCCATGATGGACTCAGCCCTGGAAGTCTATTCACTTAACAGAACCCTCGTTAGGCTTTGCTTCAGCATCCTACAGAGCCTCAAGATGATGATTACAAAATTGATTATCCTGGCTAATGCCATGGAATTATAGTTTAGAGATATTACAGATAAATTATAGTTTAGAATATTCACGGCAGTCTCCAGCTTGAACTCTTCTTTCAAGCAGCATCTAAATTTAATCACAGGGCTCTGCATGATTCTGACTGATGGTCTCTCGTTTCATGCTTTACCATGGGCTGTAGCAGAGCCCAAATTAATCTCCCTTTGCTTTTCTACTCTCCTGTACTCATTCTATGTATTTATTTATTTATTTATGGTACCAGGTATCAAACCCAGGACCTTGAGTTTGTGAGGCAGGTGGTGGAACCACTGAGCTAAGTCCCTGGCCCTCCTGTATTCATTCTTGTGTGTGTGTGTGTTTTTTTTTTTTTTTTTTTTTTTTTTTT